CAAAGTTGAAACGTCCTGGTGGGAAGTGAAGAAACATGCCTCTGTGTCTCCGAGAGAATTGGTGATGAGATAACTGGAAAATATCATTCACCCAAATGAGTTCCAGATGGGTTAAGGAGAAATGTTTAAAATTCTAGAGATTGTGGAGAAATAACAAAGTAAAATAAAATGTTTGTCAGAGATAGGGTCTTAAAACTTTCTTGCTGCATTTTATTAGCCATGTGCTTGTGAAGGAGTGATAACATTTTCTTTAGAAGCAAAACTCAAAGGAAAAAAAGGTTTACAGAACTAAATATGCAAAATGTTAAACTATTTACTCATTAAAAATAAAATTATAGAATGCCAAATATAACAAAAGGTCAATACACATACTTTTCTTTCAAATTTGTTGGAATAAATACATCAAGATTTCAATAAAGAGGTAGGCGGACAAAGAAATTAATAGACCCTATGGGAAATTTCAGATGTAAATATACATGAAAAGCATTCATCTTCGTCTACTAATCAGAGAACTGCCAGATAAAGTAGCCACTTCTGATCCACCAAAGTGGGGAAAGTTTAGTGATAGCTCTACTTCCTTTTCAGAGTATGTGAGTCAAAGAGGAAGTGAAATTTTATATTAATTCTATAACCCATTTTGGGGCTCCCTTTATTGTACATTTTTGTCAGGTTCACTCTTTAAATGGTTATTTAAAGATGTCCTCTTCTGCTATTTTATTCAGCAACTGCTCTTTGAGCTCCCACTGTAGGCAAGGCCCTACAACTACGACTTTTTAAAGGAGTCACATTTTCTGGGATGTTTCTTTTATTTGTGGTGTTACAGTTATCTGAGTCACATTTTTATTGGCTTCTTTAAAATATGCTGTAGTTTTTGAGAAGTGCTCCGAACTGTTGTGTGGAAATCATTTGAAGTATGTCATACTCTTGGGATCTGGTTAGAATTTTGTCCCCTAAGTAAATGAGGTGTGAATATTCATTTAAGGCTTGGGGTGAAACACTTGACTAGATGGGTCATTTCTATCCTGTAGAACCCTGAGAAGTCAGGCTGCAAGGTCAGGGCTCTGAGATTTTTCTCAACACACAGTAGTATAGCATAGTTGGGAAAGAATGACCTATTCACTCATTTCAAAGCCGGGCGAAGTTCAGGTTAAAAGTGCTGGTGTTACTTAGCTAAGTATTAAATGACAGATGGGAGGGATAGGCGTCCTCTTTGCTCCTCTGGGCTTTAGACGTTCTCCTTTCCCGGCACTGCTTAATGCTCCGGCCTGCGTCTGGAGGGATTTCTCCCGCTGTTCCAGTGACCAGTCGCCCCTTAGTGTATCTGGGTAAAGTCACCTGTTCACAGAATGGGAATCTTTTTTACTGTCCAAGTTTTTTCCTCCCAGTTGAAAAGATTTTATTTCTAAAAATCTAATCTACAGCCTCATAATTTTGAGGTTTGTAAAGCATATATGCATATACAGATGTTAGACTTCTAGTTTTTAGTCATTTTGTTTTTATTTTTAAACAAAAGGGATATGCAAAAATTATAGAGTTTTCCTCAATCCCCAAGTTAAGTACTTCTTTTTTTTAAAATATATTTTTATTGATTTTCTACAGAGAGAAAGGGAGAGAGATAGTCAGAAACATCGATGAGAGAGAAACATCGACCAGCTGCCCCCCGCACATCCCCCACTGGGGATGTGCCTGCAACCCAGGTCCGTGCCCTTGACCAGAATCAAACCTGCGACCCACCCAGTCCGCAGGCCGACGCTCTATCCACTGAGCCAAACCGGTTTCGGCAAGTTAAGTACTTCTTAAAAAACGGGGTTTATATATGGGAGCTATTGACATTCATTTAGATAAGTAAAGTAACTCTAGGGAATTGTAACTACCAAAGATTAATTTACTTGTTAGTGTTAAGTGTGTTTTATTATACGTGTTTTTTTAAAAAAAATGTATTTTTATTGATTTCAGAGAAGGAAGAGGGAGAGAGAAGCATCAGTGATGAGAGAAAATCATTGATTGGCTGCCTCCTGCATGCCTCACACTGGGGATTGAGCCTGCAACCTGGGCATGTGCCCCAACCGGGAATTGAACCGTGACCTCTTGGTTCATAGGTCTACACTCAACCACTGTGCCAGGCTCCATTGATTTTTTAAAGAGAGTGGAAGAGAGGAAGGGAGGAAGGAAGAGAGGGAGGAAGGCAGAGAGAGAGAGAGAGAGAGAAACGGATGTGAGAGAGACATATCGATTGGTTGCCGCCCACTTGCACCATGACCGGAGCCCAGGGAAACCTGCAATCCAGGTTCATGCCCTTGACTGGGAATCTAACTCTCAACCCTTCAGTGGGTGGGCTGACACTCTAACCACTGAGCACACCAGTCCATGCTGTATTCCAGGTTTTTGAAAGCCACGGGGAGGAGTTTTAAGTCCTGGCTATCAAGCTTATGCTAACCAGTGAATAGGACTTCATGTTGAGTGTATCATGCCCACTCCTCAACAGTCTTGTGAGGTAGGTGTTATTGTCCCCCTTCTACCGATGAAAATACTGGCGCACAAACAGTGAACTTGGCCGAAACCGGCTTGGCTCAGTGGATAGAGCGTCGGCCTGCGGACTGAAAGGTCCCGGGTTCGATTCCGGTCAAGGCCATGTACCTTGGTTGCGGGCACATCCCCAGTAGGAGATGTGCAGGAGGCAGCTGATCGATGTTTCATCATCGATGTCTCTAACTATCTCTCTCCCTTCCTCTCTGTAAAAAATCAATAAAATATATATAAAAAAATGACAAGACAGTATCTGTCTATTGTGAATAAATCAAAATCATACCTATTTAAAAAAAAACACCTCCCCCCCCCAAAAAATAAAAAAAAAACAGTGAACTTGCCCAGGGCACATTTCTAGTAAGAATTTGGGCTGGACTTTGAACTCTGATGACCACAAAACCTTCCTTCTTCCCATTTATTACCACCACTTTTCGGCAGTTGTAGTACCTGAGAGTCACCCACGCATGTACTTACCACCTACTGGCCTCACTGATTTCAGGCAGATGGTAGGTGGAGAATAGAGCTATGGCAACCACTTGGAAATAGCCAAGCAAACGGCCTGTTCTAATTCAGCCTTCAGGTACTTGGGGCTGCAGAGTGCAGGAGAGGTGGACAGAAGCCCTTGTCTAGCCATGTTGACTTCTGTCTTTTTTGTGTATTCGCCTTGTTACATGGCTGCAATCCAGTTGTGTCTATGCTATTTGAACAACTTGAAGTATGGGCTACATTTACTCAGTAGGTCATTTATATGATTAAGCTTCATCCCACTGTTTCATAACTCTTAAGATGTGCCCCCAGTATAGAGCCATATGTTTTTCAGGGAAATACTCTCACCTTAGGCTAGTGTTGTTAAACAGGGCCCCTAATGTGTTTCACTGGAGCGCAGGGTAGTTTTATTTTCTTATTAAATTTACTTAGAATTTTCTATACTCACGTGTCTGGTCAACCTGTGCTTCTTGTCTTCCTGCAGTCTTTATGGGCTTCCCTGTAAGCACCAGTACACTTAGTGGTGAGGTCTAGAAGTCTCCTTTCTTGCTTTTCTTATTTCCCTACCTCTGGGAATTGTACTTGCTTGAGTCTCCAAGTCTAGCCCAGTAGAGGCAGATAAAGCTACTTTTGCTCTGTATACCAACTTTGGGAATTGACGTAATTCTTAGAAACATAAAACCCAGGTAACTCAAAACACAAAACCCAGTTTGATACACAGACTGTCCATTTGCAGTTTGGAACTTCAGATTTGGATCTGTTTAGTGAGCTGCTCGATCCCCAGAGCCTCTGCAGTCATACGTCAGTTGTGATTGAATGAAGCAGTGACAGCTTTTCTGAAGTCAGATAGATGCCTCTGGCGTCCAGTTTTGCGTTGCCAGTCCAGAATGGTAGACCTGAACTGGATTTGTTCCTTAATATCTATTGACTGAGGACCTATTCAGTGTGAGCCCTGTGAATGCAGGAGTGAACGAGGCAGACAAGGCTGCCTTCTTGGCGGTTACATTCTAATAGAGGAGACAGGCAACGAGTTTCTGATAGTAACCCTAGTAATACGCTGGAGTGCTTCCTGGGGTCACGCACTGTGCCACGCATGTTACATGATTCACTCTGAGGTGGTTCTGTGTTAACCTTGTTATTTCAACTGTGGGCGCTGAGACCAGAGAAGTTAAGACCACTCATCCCCCAAGCTTACAGAGCAGGAGTCTGGCTCCATGATTAGTTTTCTGACTGTGGTGATAAGTGTCCTGAAGAGAGAAAATGCAGAACACCCTGGGTGATTTCAGAGACCTGAGAGTTGGGGTACTCGGATTGGGTTGCCAGAGAAACCAGTGTCAACATTTGGAGGTGAAATTTGACCTGACACCTGGCTGACAGGAGTGAGGCACTCCCAGTAGCTGGATTCAGTTTGTTCTGGGCAGAGAAAAGCAGTTCTGAAAGCTCTCGGCGGGAAAGCTGGGAGTGTGCAGACAGAAGGGAGGCTAGGAGATCTGGGTCTCAGAATGGCAGCTGCCGGCCACACTGGGAGGCCCCGGCTGGCTGTGATCAAGATTTCAAATTTATTCTAGGGCCTGTGGGAAGCCAATGATGGGCATCAAGCAGGGGTGGGGCACAGGATGATGACATTATTGTGGAGAAAGAGTTTAAGAGTAGAAACAGGGATACAAGACATGGGGAGAATTTAGAGTTGTTCCCAACTCGTTAGGTTTGCGTGAACCTCTTTGTACCTTTGTTTGCTTATTAACCAGAGTGTAGATGAAATATAAATATCTCAGTGCTTAAAGAAAATGATGGCAAACAGACTAGTTTCATCCCCCTTTCCCGCTCCCCAACAACAAACGCCAGTCCTCTCTCCAGCCTTAGCTCTACTGTTCTCTGCCTGGCGTGCCTAACACCCTCGCCACTGTGATGTCACCTTCTAACATTCTGTGTGATTGACTTACTATCTGGTTTCCTGCCAGGCCCCCTCTGCTGGAATGTAAATTCCCTGAAGGCAGAAATCTGTTTTGTGCCCTGGTATTTCCCAGGCTTCCAGATGGAAGAGCAATGCCTGGCCCTGTTAGCCTCACTGTAGGTGCTCAGTACATATTTGATGGGTAAGTGAATATAGAGTCAGTGGAAAATAAGGTAGTTTATCCTTTAGCTCCCAGGCAGCTGCATTTGAAGTCACATGGGATCTGCAGCTGCTCTCCATCCTGAGCGCAGTCTTCTAGACTTGCATTCTTCCTCTTCCTCAGTGCTGTCATGTCTTTTGAAATGGCACCCTTTTGATTAAGTAAAACTAATAAATAGATGTTATTTGAGGCATAATTTTTCTTTGTCTAAATTTATTTTTGGCCTTTTTTTCATTTCTGGTTTTTAGACTTTTATAATTTTCCCCTTTAATTATCAGTTGGAATTTTTGAAGACTTTAGAAGTTATTTGGATATTAATGTAGGAAGGTGGTAGTGATAATGTGAAATAAATTATGTGAGAAACTAATTTTATCAGTTGTAGTTATGACAGATATCAGAAATTTTTACTTATTTGTCTCAACAACAAAAATGTGAGCAAGAAGGAATTCAGTGCTGTGGCATGCGCACAGGGCTGGCCAGGACACTTGGTCCTAGTTTTGTCCAGTGATCATAGCCACCTTTTATTGTGTGTCCACTGTCTGCCTGCCGGACGCTCTGTTAAATGCTCCAAATAGCATTTCTGACCATATCCCTTAAGGCTGTCACTACAACACCCAGTTTATCAGAGAGGAAGCTGAGTCCCAGGGGGGAGTTAAGCAACTTGTCCAGGATCACACAAGTAGTGAGCAGCATGGTGACTAGACATACACCAGGCTGCTGCTCTCTGCCATCTTCTCTCTTCTCTGAACTTCAGTTTTCCTACTTTTAAAATGAAGGCGTCAGTGGTTAGAGCACCAGCCCACACTCCAAAGGGTCACAGGTTCAATTCCCCATCAAGGGCACGTATCTGGGTTGCAGCTTCTATCCTGGGTTAGGGAGGCAACCAATTGATATGTGTGCCCCTCCCTCTCTCCTTTCCTCCCTTCCTCCCTCCCTCCCACTTTCTCTAAAAATTAGTGGGGAAAATATCCTCAGGTGAGGATTAACAAAAATAAAAGAAAGAAATAGAACGAAGGGGTAACATTTAAACTCTGACAGAGAACTTCATCACATTGAGAAAGGCTCTGAGGTTCTCCACAGCCCACTAACCCCTCAGTTGAACCCACTTTTGTGGAGCTGCTCCTCTGCGACCACAGTGTGAGGTGCTGTCAGGCTGCAGAAAAGGATGAGGCCCGGTCTGTCTGTCCCGGTGGGCGAGGGGCTGTGCTCCCCTAGTAGCTGTCGGCTCCTGGGCCGGTGTGGCCAGTGCCCTGTTGGTCAGCAGTAAACCTTGCCCGTCATTCCCGACACCAGAGGAAGGGACATCAGGCCTGCTTGGTGGGCAGAGGCAGGCACCTAGTGCTTTGGGGGGGGAGCTGTGCAGTGGAGCCAGCATGGGTTTAAAGACATGCTCCTCCTCCTCAGTGCTTCTGGTGGGAGCAGTCATTTTGGAGGAGAGACTATGGGGGGTTCTTTTAACCCTGTACGCTCCCAACGCAACTTGAGAACTTGTTACCTTGCTGTTTCTACCTCAGGCTAAGACAGCCTCTCAGAACCTACGTTTTATCACCTGTAGTCAGGAGAGGGCCACCCTACGGAATCACTTAAGATATGTGCATGTGTAATGCTTCCAGCAGTGAAGGTTAATTTAAAAAGATGTGTTCAACTCTAAACCTTTAAACAGATGTTTGGTATCAACATGCTACTGGAAATGCAAAATACTGTGTACTCTGTTCATTTGATACCTCAGTGATGCTTATTATTTTATTTATATTATTTTTAAACATATTTTTATCAAAGGGAGAGAGAGATAGAAACATCAATGATGAGAGAGAATTGTTGATCGCCTGCCTCCTGCACGCCCTGCACCGGGGCTCAAGCCCACAACCCCGGCCTGTGCCCTGACTGGGAATCAAACCAGCAGTCTTTTGTTTCATGGGATGATGGCCAACTAACTGAGCGACACTGGCCCAGGTATCTTTCTTTTTGAAAAATTTATTGATTTTTAGAGAGATGAAGGGGGAGGGAGGGAGAGAGAGACAGACAGACAGACAGAGACAGACATCGATTTGTTGTTCCACTTACTTATGCAATTCTTGTATGTGCCCTCCTGGTGATTGAGCCTGTAACCTTGGCGTATCGGGCTGACGCTCTAACCACTGAGCTGCCCTGCCAGAACTTGCTCTCTTTTCTAAGTTGTACTTGCTGGGACATGTGATGGCCACAGATGGTAGGTAATGGAATTTACGGGCAGATGTTATGGAGCCAGGCAGCCTGAGGTCAGACCCTAGCAACCCCGTTACTGCTTTGGGCCTCAGTTTTCTTATCGGCAGGAAAAAGTGAATTCATACACGTAAAAATGCGTTTCTAATCAGTACTTACCACATAGTAAACAGTGACTGTTTTAAAGGGGATTTTGAGCCGTTTTATCTGTTAAAGAACATCTGGAGAGACAGGAATAGAAATAATCTGATCAGAGGAATTAAAGCTTTGAGCTCACTGTCCCAAGCAGGACGTGTTTCGTCAGCCTGAAGCTGTGCAGAGGAACCTTAAACACAGGAGGGCGTCTGTCCTGCGAAAGTAGAAAGCGCACAGTGAGGGTTCTGACTCGTGGTAGTGGGTTCTCCTTTATGTAGGGGGTGGATCCCCTGTTGGGCTCCCTCCTGCCGGTAGAAAAGGGGTTTGATTCCCTTTTCATTGACTGGCACTGCACCCCTTCTAGAATGTTAGGTTTGTGAGAGTTTGTGATGGATTTCTGGCCTGGGCATCCCAGTCTCTTCTGCTTCCCACCCAAGGCGCCGGCAGGGCGTGGGCTGTCTCTGCAGCGCTGTTCCGAGCCCTTTGCCAGGCTTAGCCCGAAGGGTCGGCTCCTCTACGCCTGTTTAAAGTCTTGCCACTCTTCAGGGAAACACTATACCATATGGTTTCACTTACATGTGAAATCGAAAAACAAAATAAATGAACAAACAAACCCAAAACTTAAAGATACAGAGAACTGATGATTGCCAGGGGGGAGGGGTGCAGTGGGGTGAAAAAGGTGAAGGGATTAAGAGGTACAAAACAGTCATTGGGATATAAAGTACAGCCTAGGGAATATAGTCAATATTGTAATAACTATGGTGCCTAGTGGGTACTGGACTTATGGGTGATCACTTAAGGTCTATAAATGTCTGATCACTATTTTACACCTGAAATTAATATAATGTATGTCAACTGTACTTGGGGAAAAAAAATCTTGTCATTTTTTTCAGCAAAGACTTCACTGTGACTTTTTTTAAAGCTTTTTTTTTCTAGCTTTATCTATATACTAGAGGCCCAGTGCATGAAATTCGTGCACGATGGGATCCCTAGGCCTGGTCAGTGATCGGAGCTGATTGGGGTCAGGCTGATCAGGGCCAGGCCGGAGAGGAGGCAACAGTTGCTGGGCCAGGTGCAGAAGGGACGGACGCCGGACGTTGACGCCCCATTGTCGGCACCCCGTCACTGTGCAGTTCCCTGCCTCCCCCTTTCCTCCCTCCCTCACTGCCGTGCTACCATCATGGTGGCCAGGCGGCGAGCCAATCAGGGTCTGCTGGGTTGGGTGAGGGACAGGGTATGGGAGGTTGACTGCTGGCCCAAAGGAGGGAGCTGGCCCTTGGCCCCTCTGGGAAAGGGGCCACAACCACCACCACCCACCCCCAGTTCCCCGTCCCAGCCCTGAGGCCTGCTGGCCGGGGGGGGGAAATACTGCAGGAGGTTGGCCAGCTGGGGGAGGTTGGCCATGGGAGTGCACTGACCACCAGGGGGTAGCTCCTGCATTAAGTGTCTGCCCCCTGGTGGTCAGTGTGTGTCATAGCAAATGGTCATTCTGGTCGTTCCAGTCGCTTAGGCTTTTATATACTAGAAGCCCGGCGCACAAAATCACACAGCCCTGCCCACCCATGCCGGTCTTTGGTCGTCACAGCATTAGGGCCAAGGGCTTTTTATACATATAGATAGATATAAAAGCCTCAGCGACCTTTACGACGGCACAACCGGTCGACCAGTTGCTATGATGCGCACTGACCACCAGGGGGCAGACACTCAACATAGGAGCTGCCCTCTTGTGGTCAGTGCGCTCCAATGGCCAACCTCCCGCAGCCCCTCCCCCTGGCCAGCTGGTCCCGATTGCCCCGATTAGAACCTCCCGTGACCCCTCTCCCTGGCTGGCTGGTCTCAATTGGCCCCGATCACTGGCCATGCCGAGGGACCCCACCCATGCACGAATTCGTGCACCAGGCCTCTAGTTGAGGTATAATTGACAAAACTGTAATATATTTAAAGGGTCCTCATGACGATTTCATATGTGTATACATTGTGAAACGATTCCCACAATCAGGTTGGTGAACACAGTCATCACCTCACTTGGTTACTTACTCGTTTTTGGTGAGGGATGTGAGCCTCACGGAGCTCTTCCAGAGAAGTTAGGGTGTCCCTTGTAGCAGGTACCCTACTTCAAGAACAAACAGTCGAGTCACTACTATTTGTGAAACTTTCTCCCAGGGCTTGCTTACAAAAAATGAATTAGAAATTGTGTCCCTGTTCTTCACGGGCCCACAAACTGGTGATGGAACAAGCATCTACACAAGTGGTTTGGTCTTGTTTGAAAATGGCTGAAAGGAGGTGAGAATTAGGTGTCTTGGAACACAAGAGGCCAAGTGCCATGCTCAGGGCCTTCACAGAACAGGAGCTATTGGATTTGGGGCTTGAGAAGGAGTGGGGCTGAAAGGTTTGGAGGAGAGACGAGTTCAGTCAGGTCGTTAAAGCTCCTTGAGTTGGTGCCAGGCACCATGTGTGAAAGAAGGGGCCATTGACGACTCCCTCACTGTGCTGCCTCTTTTGTGCTGCTGTCTTTGAAGCTCAGTGGGTGTTCATTCACCAGGTGACTGCCACCTGTCCTGAGCCACCGGGAAGCACCTGCTTAGCTCTAAAAGCATCTCTCTCTTTTTAATAACTCTATCTATCTATCTATCTATCTATCTCTT